ATAAGTGAAGCTTTTCCAAGTGCTTAAGCCAGGCTCTGTGAAGGTGCTGGTAATGGCCCAGAGGTCTGAGCTTGGCCTTTGGTTGTCTTCTGCTACAGAGACGCTGTACCCTATGAACCCAGCCTGAGTTGCACTGAATACTGAGTGCATTTTAGGCAATGTGAAGCATCATTTTTCTTGTTGGTGATGATCTTAATTTTTTTATTTACCTCTAGCCTTAATGTACTAGGGAAAGGTGGTAACTGCTTTCCCTGACATTGTTAAAGCATGATTTCTGATGTTTCATTGTTCAAATTCTGCAGTTGCCACAGAAAAGTGGATGTTAGGGATTGAGTGTTACCTCTTTAAAAGGAAGACAAGGGGAAGAAACAGCATAGAAATTACAGAAAGCTATTTGGATTGCAAAGTCAGAGTCTTCAAGCTTAGAACATTCCAGAATTGCTTTAAATAGCATCTTAATTTTATCCTGATGTCTGCAGAATAGTATCTGTTCACACAGTCACTTACTGTTAGGTGGTGGTTTTCAACAAGATCAAGCTATGTGGGGAATTGTGGCTTCTTCTTTGAATAGTCCTCTTATCACCTGGTTCATTGAAGCTTGTGCTTGGTGTTGCAGAATGAGTCTTGAATTGCATTAACAGGTGGGTTTAATTAGCCTGGTATGTAATAGAGGTTGGAGTTTCCCTCGGAACTGGAGGAAATTAGGCAGGGTTTGGATACTGAGGCCTTAGAACAGTTGTAAGAGGGAGAATGTAAGTGGCAGTTTGTTTAGGGAGTGCTTACCAATAAATAAAGTCTCTTAAAGAATAGTAGGCTGTATACAAACACAGCAGAGCCTTTTGCGTTCTTTTTGAGAGACTGTTCTTTTCCTTCTTTTTATTTTTTATATGTTTTTGTATAATTTCCTTGCTTTTCTAAACATGTATTTCTGGCCTCTCAGTATATTCTATTGCATAGGTTTTACTTCCTTTTTGCTATGAATCTAATCTCTTACACTTCATTTAACTTTTCAAAACTTTACTGAATCAATAGTTTCATTTTTTGATCTCATGTGTAAATTGCTTGTCTTCTCTTTCCTCTTCAAGATTACATCTTACACCTTTTAAAATCTAAAGAGAGTTTCTTTTCTCTGGTTATTATTTGGGTTAGTCCCTTCCTACCTCTCTATTGGCAAAACCCATTACCTTTTTATTTTCTAAAGTGTTATTGCAGTTCCTGCTTGTCTCTGTGAGACTTGCCCTACAGAGTCCCTGTATGTTTCAGTGCTTGGACTTTTTCATGACCTAAAGAGATATATGGTTTCATGTGTTCTAGAAGTGATGCAGTATTTGCTTAGTGTATAATTGTGGCTTTTGCTTCAATCGTAGCTAATCATCATTGCCTGTACAACTTCATGGGAATGGAGAGCTTTAAGGGTGCACACACTAGGAGAGATCCAGAAGATTGTAGTCTGACCTGCTTAAGATCATTAGTTCCTACATGGTTTATTTATCGCTTCCTGTTAATTCCAGTTCAGTTTTAGTATTGGAGGCAAAACTTATCATGTAAGGTGAAATTGTTCTAGAGAATTATACTGCAAAGTTTGGGGGTTTTCGTCATCTTGTGTCTGTTACCTGAAGGTATTTAGTCTCTGTGCTTCCTTTGTTCCATCAAAATGTGGGAGAACTACGTAATGTGTCCTAACTCATTCAAAGCTGTTACTTACCTATTTAGCAAATACATATTTTAAAATTTTCATGCTGCTTCTTGTGTCAGAAGTCCTCAAGATTTTTTTCCTTTCAGGTTAGCAGAAGACTTACCCAGTTGAGATTCAGTTTTAATTTGTTAATAAAGCTGTGTGTTGTGGTTGCCTGGTAGGTTTTCCACTACTTGTCTGGTACTATGGCTTTTGATAGATCATGAATGAGATGTTAATACAAGATAAGCTTTTGCAAAAATATTCATTGCTGTACAGCATTGGAAACACAGTGGTTACCCCAGTTTAGAAACAGATTAGCAGAATCTAAGTTTCAGCAGCAGTCAGGAATTTAAGGGAGCATTAATGTTAGACTATTCCTTTTTTCCACCGACTCAGTTTCCCTTATTCACTTCATGACTGTGGTTAGTACATCCTTATTTCTGGAGTTGTGTTGCTTTATCTGTGAATACGGTTTATAATAAGTATAAATGCAATGAGCTTAGGAGGCAGTTAGTTTTATTTCGAACGGCTGTAGCTCTGCAGCATTAAGGGAAAATAATGAAAAATTAAGTCTCTGCAAAGAACTTTGTACAATAATGGAAAACCCAGGAAAACTCATCTTTGGATGAGGTGAAGCTATGTCTCTTTAGACCCCTCACTGGTCAGTGTGGCTGGTGTTTACCTGGTGCTATGTCAAGAGGCTGCAGTAGGATGTGCTCCTCTGTCCCGTAGTGCTCCTGTCTTGGCCACTCTGTCCTGCGCTGTGCAAATAAGCCCTATGTATAGCTTAGCTACTGCAGCAAATGGATAAAAGAGACTGCAAGTTGAGTCAGGTGCAGCAGAATACACTAGATCACTCTGAAACTCTTTCTGCGCTGATCCCTCTGTAGATCCCCTAAAACCCAGCACTGCCATGAATTTGAGTTAGGCTGGGGGCCTGCCCAGGGAGGCAGCTGGACTTCACACCCCAACTGACCCGGAGACCACTCTGTGTGTGCAGACTTGTTATCTGAGATAGTCTCTCCATGAAGCCAGTCCTGGATTGTCTGCATCTCTGCTCTGGGCTGATCTACAGCCCAGATCAACTGCTCTGGTAATTGAAGGATTGACTGAACTAATATGTCCTGCAGAGATGGCTTCTGTGGAGTAGAACTCAACATTTTTGTGAAGATCTTCACTGTAATACCACGTTGATAGTCATCTGCCTGTCTCACCTGAGTGACTGGGACAGGGGATACAGGCTGTATTGCCTATTTTCTGTAATTGTATAACCCAAAGGATAAACACTGATTAGGGATCACTTATGGCTAATGAATTTTATGGATACAAAAGCTTGCAAATGAAAGTAAGCTCCCTAGCAGTAAATATCTTAGATTCTTCAGTTATTTATGTTCGAATGACTACACCCTTAACTAAGGAAAAGCTTTGCATCATATTACTAGAGGGGTTTTTGTTATTGTTGTGGGGTTTTTTTGTTTTTTGTTTGTTTGTTTTTGGTGGGGTTTTTTGGGGAGGGTGGGCGTTTTTTGAGAAGGGTGGTTTTGGTTTTTGTTTTGTTTTGTTTTATTTTTTTTTGGGGGGAGGGTAGGTTTTGTTGGTTTTTTTTTGTTGTTTTTTACTGTTTCTGACTTTGTGTCTTACCTGCAGAGTTCTCAGAAATCATGCTTAGCTTTGAACAGTGAATGTCTATAGGGCAGTGGTCTGTAAATCTGTGCCTGTCTTATCATGATGCTTATAAAAAAAGTGTCTTTGTGCCAACCAAATATCCAGAATTTCTAATATCCTGAATATTCTTTAGCTCAAAACTTTCTATACCTGAGGACTAGAGAATGGATGGATGGTTTTAAATTTGTGATAACATAATAAAATCCATTTTGAGAGAGAATATGTTCTATAGCGCATAGTTTGGCACTTAAGTGGTAATTTTATCTATTGTATTAGTGCTGATAGTCTGACCAATAATAGGAAAGATCATGTGTCACTGATGCTGTCTGCTGAATGAAGTGTAAAACTGAGGTTCTGACCCCTAGCACTAGTTTGAAAAAGCTAAATGGCAAGAATAGGTGTGTTCACCCCTGCACACTGGACAAATTCCAGGCTCAATAACACCAGTCTTCATAAATGTAATTTATGGCTTCATCTGGATGTAGTATTTTCGTTTGCCTATTCTATTGTTGAGTTTTATTAAACAGTTGGTGCTTTTTAAATTGAGTGATCTCCTGTACGTGATTTTGCTTTTAAAGACCTTTGTAGTTTTGCACTCCTGAGGTGCTAAATACGTTTTTTATGCTATTTTCAAAAATGTTCTTCTTGCCCTCCCCTTTCTCAGTACTTTATGAAACTTTTCAGTGAGGTGCCATCAGAACTTTGGTGAAGATGTACATTGTAACAGAAACTAACGCAAACTTGAACTGCTGTTTTCCTAAATACTTCTGAGCTATAGCTACTCATGTACCATAGAAAAGATGTATTGATCCATGATAAATTATGAATTAAAATTTAGAAAACCATCTCAAGGAAATTAAGGAATAATTAAAAGGGTTTTTTTAAATGCATGTAGAAACAGTAATATTGTAATACTTGACCTTTTTTCATTCAAGTATATCAGTAACAACATACCTTTATTACAGAGAAAAGGATAACTTGATGGAGAACTGAGTATCCTATAGCTGTGTAGGAAGTTGTAAACAAGAACCCCAAATACACGCACAGATCCTTGTACCTGTATGGAGATTCTTGAATTACTTGGCCTATTTGTAGGTTTTCTGCAAAGTGTGTTTCAAATCTGAATTTGATATTAACGTGTGCAAGTGTCAGCTCTGCTAGCTAAATATAGGGGTTTGGATATGTCATTTTTGTTTTTTCTGTTTTTTTTTTTTTGGTTGAAACAGCGTGATTAGTAGTAATGTATTTAATGTGTAAATGCAAGCACTTAGTAGCACTAAGCACTGTAAATGCTTTGATTATTTTCCAAACTAAATTCATCAGAACTTAAGAATTTAAAGGTTAATGTTAGAGAAAAAATTTCCTTCCTTTCCTTCTCCAATAGCTCCAAAGATTATTTTGGTAATAACCAAATTACTTTGTTAATGGGTGAATACTACATAGTGTGGTCTAATTTGCTTTGCATTCTTCCTTCAGAGTAGAAGCAATGCTTTCTATTTCTCTTTTATTTTGATAAATTGGCAAGTTTTTGTTAAAAGTATTAAATTACTAAATGATTTGAAAATGTGTTTAAAAAGTTGGAATGTATTACAAATCTAACATACAGTGACAGTGGAAAATATGACTGCTAAATTTTAATACTGTGGATTTTGTGTAGATCACGATCAAGACCTCGTCAACGTTCTTATAGTCGAAGTAGTGAAAGATCCAGTCATAGGAGAACTCATAGCGGGTCTCGTGAAAGAGAGCGGCGTAAAGGCAAAGAGAAAGAAAAAATAAAAGAGAAGGGCAAAGGAAAAGAAAAAGAGATATGTGGCGTGAAGCATGGGTAAGTGAAACGACAAATAATGTAACTATAATAAAAACAGGGAATCAGTTTGCTTTATAGAACATGATATATAAACTAGTCGAAATTACTTAAAATCTTTAAATAGTATAATTCTTAGTACTTTACAATTATGGAACGTAAGAACATTTTAAACTAAATGATGGTATAATTTACAATTCCTTTTTTCCCTTCATTTCAGGTGTGCTAAATAGCTTTCATCAGTTGACTAATATAAATATTTTTCCAATACATAATAACCAAAATTAAGGAAAAAAAAAAATGTGGAGTATTGGAAAGTAGGAAGACTATTTCCTATGGAAAGGTGAATTTTGCTGTTCACACTCCCATTGTCAGAAGTTTCTGTCGGGCTTACTTTGTGGCTCAAAGTGCAGTTTAGTAGAAGCATTTGCTATGGATGAATGATGGGCTGCCTTTCAAAACCTGTGTCAACCTAGTTTCTGCTTGAAATTACTTGGGTTGTTGATCTTGTTTTTACAGATTTTAGAAAAGGCAATTTATGTAATTACCTTTGTTATATGCATCTTGACCTTCTGCAGCCTTTACTCCGTTTCTTTTCCCTGTTTGTGATTGGTTTGAAAAAGGAAGACACTGGAGTGTCACTTCATAAACTGCCCTCTGATGGATTCCCACTGAAACTCGTAAGTGGGAATTTCTAGAGTAGCATCCTCCACCCATGCTCATGGAGGTATCTAGCAATTGTTATTGTCTAACCCTTGTTTTATGGCTTGACAATATTAGTTATTCAGTCTCTCAGATACTGTAATATCTACCTGTCATGGATATATAGATATCTATCTCTCCATGATTATAGTATTGATTATGTAAATAGTCAAGATTAGCTATTTGCATGGTGTTTCTTTTTTTCTTATTTGCAGTACATTACTTAGACTGCTGAATGGCGTCTTCAACTCATTGTTGTAGAATCATAGAATGGTTTGGGTTGGGACCTTAAAGGTTGTTTAGTTCCAACCCCCCTGCTACAGGAAGGGACACCTTCCACTAGACCAGGTTGCTCCAAGCCCTCCCTGTTCAACCTGGCATTGAATACTGCCAGGAGTGAGGCAGCCACAACTTCCCTGTGCCTGTGCCTCACCACTCTCACAGTGAATAGTTTTTCCTAATATTTAATCTAAATTTACCTTCTTTCATTTTAAAGCCATTTCCCTTTTTTTCAAGCCATATCCCCTTTTGGGGGGATACTTTCCTCATTTTACTAAACCACATGGAGGCATTTGTCTCCTCTTGTTGTGGATGTATTCAGCAGTGAGTAGTATTCAGTGTGAGCAGAACACCTGAGAAGGCTGCAGTACAGCTGATCAGGACAAGCAAGATGCATTTAACCCGTTTACCTGAAGTTCAAATAGTGGTGGACTTGGCAGTGTTAGGTTTATGGTTGGACTTGATCTTAAAAGTCTTTTCCAACTTAATGATTCCATGGTTCTGTGTTTTGTTTAGAAGACTTGAGGAGAAGCCTGGATGTTCCAGCCAAAATTGCTCTTTCATATTGAAGTAGAAAAGCAGGGAAAGGATCTCGAGCACCCAATATGGGGTATGTGAGAGGTTTTCTGGAATTTTTGTAGAAGCACATCTTAAATCACACTGGAGTATGTAGCAGTGCTCTATTAGCATATTGCCTGACCTACTGTTCTTTTAGAACAAGGATCAATATGAGATAGCTGTAGAAAGAGCAGAGAAGTGCCCAGAGTTTTTTATTTTTTGGAAGCAAGCAATTTATCTTTATATTCTGATAACTTACAAAACTACTTATGCTAAGTTTGAAAACAAAATGCCTTGTTTGGGTCATTTCCAAGGTAATTAGGACAAAGAGTACAAATGGATAATAGAAACATTTTATGACATCAGTGCATTTTCCCCTGAGCCCAGGTACTGATGGCTAGGCTTTATACAGGGATTTCTTCAATCATTATTAGACTACAAAATGAAATGTACCTAGGATGGTGCTGATATAATCTGTGCTTCATAAACTTTTTTTGAGGGGGGGATTGTGTTTTTTCAGTTTAATCAAATAGCGATCAAAGTTATATCTGTGCAGAGAATATGGATCTGAGCAGCTTTTCCACTTTACAGTTTGTCATTCGGAAGACTGAGACTGTATCAGCATTGTTAAGAGGCTTTGCAAAACAAGAAGCTTGAACGCACAGGGAAGACAAATCTTTGATGCAGTTGCTGTTTGCAATTACTGTGCAGTTTGTCTATGGAATATTCTGTTATAGACCCCAGTGAGAGTGAATTAGGAACCTGCAGTTTTCCTTAAATGCATGTAGAAGCAAAAAGAGTTAGTGTAATTTCTCTTTGCCTTGTGTGTGCTTCAGGAAAATGAGGCTGAGTAGGGTATCTTACTGTTGTGTTTTCGTATGAGGCTTCCTCAGGCCTCCCATGCTCTCAGCTTGCTTTCTGTCATTTATTTATGTATTTATTTTCTTTTGAGGTGAGAAGTATGGGAAAGAAAAGATCTCCTTGGCCAAGGAAGCTCACCTGTCCTTAGGTTATAGATATAGGAAGTGAAATGGTACAACACAAACTGTTTGAACCTTTTGGCTGTGTAAATATGTTGGCTTCTGGCATGGTTTTCTTTGTTTTCTGCAGCAGCAGGGAGATTCAGTGTTTGTTCTGTCCTGACGCTCATTTCTGAGGAAAGCACCAAGTCAGAACTTTTTGTTCTCTAGTAACTGTAGGGCCTTTTATAGTTGTCGGTGGTCAGCAGAAGGTACTAAGTTGGTTTCCTGATAGTTTTTGAGGGTATATGTTATAATTTAGGATTTTTGTCTTGTAGTGGTGTCAGATGTCCTTTTGGGGGTATGGTTAGAATTAATAACTCTTATTATAGCTTGCCTCTGCAGCTGAGCGTCCTAGCAGATTCTGCAGCTGATGCTGGTTTACTGCCTTGGCTGGAACTTCACTGCTCATGCAATTGACTTAATGCTGGTGTAGACCAGGAAGCACTATTCGCTCTGTCAGCTGTCTTAATCAGAGAGACAGTAAATGGATAGGTGATGCATTCTCAAAATATGTTGTGGCTTGTTTTTTGGGGCTTTTTTTTTTTTTGTTTGGTTTTGTTTTGGTTGGTTTTGCCTTTTTTTTTGGGGGGGGGGGAGTGGAGTTTGTTTGTTTGTTTGTTTGTTTAAAGTTGGATTAAATTTGGACAGGAAAAAACTAAGTATTTTCTTTTTCTTCCTGGCATATTCTGCTCTAACACAGTGATGGTTCTGATTTTATAACTTGTCACTTTTTTTATTCTCTGGTGAGGAATATACTCTAAATGGACACAAAAAATGATTGTCAGGTGTGCATTTGGATGTGAAATGTGAAATGTGAAATACTGAGAGGAACATGTTGTAGATGACTCCCCTGGTGAATGAATTTCTAGATCTAGTGCTTAGATCAGCACTGAAAGTAACATTGTTCTGCAGAGCCTTTCTAGAAACCCCAGCAGCAGGGATCCTTAGAGTTAAAAATAGTTCTCTGACCTCTGCATTTTGAGTAGATCCTTGCAGGTACACATCAAAAAACAGATCTGTTTTTCAGTTTAAATTCATGTATGTTTGTGATGTATCTATTGAAAGTACCTACTTTAAAGCTGTAACGAAGATCATTTTAAAGTCAGATTGTGAGAAGATGGACTGCAAGTTGTCAGGTGCTGGTTGACTTTATAGTTTAACTTTGCATGACAGAAGCTATTTTGGTTTGTCAGCACTGCAGATCATCTGATACAAGTAGTCGTATATTTGGGACTTGACTGTTCCTCTGAAGTGGAGAATCAAAATGCAATTTTTGCAGTAATTAAGGAGCAAATTATATTTATTTGTGGATTATATAAGCTCTTTTCTGTGGTTGGTTTATGTATTTTCTTTATGTGGTTGCCTTCTAGGTGTGAGGGTCTCTTGGTTTTGTTTTTGGTTTGTTTTTTTAATCAGGGAAAACTTCAGGTTCTCTCAAAGATCTTGTCTTCACAGTAAATGTCTCGATACTTGAAGAGTAAAAACCTCTGCCACAGTAATCCAGTTGTCATCCCTTCGTGTTCTCTGTTTCAATGAAGATTCTTTAAGGCACTGAACTTGAAGGTTAGAGGTATCAGCTGTTTGTGGAGACAGGCTGTATTACAGTCCTAGAAAACCAGCTGAGCAATTCTGTTCTTGGAATCTGAGATGTTTTAAGGGATGTACTATTTGTTCAGCCATTATGGAGGGAGATTGTGGTAACAGCTGCTTTGAATTTGGGTTGGTAATCTCATTTACAGCATCTGACAATACTTGGTGAAAAAACTTGGCATTAAGAGCAGTCTGTCAAGCTTTGAAATAGTATTGTACTTGCTTAAAAGGTAAAGTATTGCGAACTCTGAAAACGTCCCAACAGCACATCCTAAATGCTCTTAAACAAACAAACAAAAAGATCTGTCTTTCAGATTATCAGGATTATTTCATTTCCAGTGAAAACTCTTTGCAAAATAAGGCTTATGAGAAGCAGATAAGAAGAAATGTTTTTAATTAGTTTGCATTCAACTACTCAGTGCTACCTATGTTCCTTCCACTTTGCAAGTAATCTGAGCTATCCAGTTTGCTGCTTTGGTCTCCTAATCTCATAGCAGTTGTTTGAATTGCATTTCCCCCCTTTTTTTGTTGTTTTGTATTTCTGTTGCAGAGCATAGGAGAACGAACTTTATTGCCTGGAAGGATATGAAAAAAAAAATCAATAAATGGCATAGCTTTTTCTGAATAAGTGTTGCCAGCGTTTCCAAAGTGAAAGCACTTGGCCTTGCAGCCTTTTCTATTTATTCAGTCTTCCAGGCCAAGTATCAAATCATATTTCTCTGTTTGTAACAACAATATTGTTCTCTAGTTATGACCCGTAACTGCAGTAGGGATGTTGTGTGCATTATTGCTTTGGACCATTACTGCGCACTAGAACTCTGTCAGTGCTTGTTCTTTGTAATTAAGCACGTGTGGTTGGCTTTCTTGTTC